AGCGCGGAGCTGTCGACATCGCAGAAGCCGCTGCCCCGAGCTGGCACCGTCGCCGGCCGCTGTGGCCGAGAAGCGAAGGGGCGCGGCCTCCGGGATGGGGAAAGTTGCGTCCCCGCTGGTCGGTGCCCGGTACGCGGCCCGGCGGCGGGCACCGCCGTCCACCCTGCTCCAGCGGGGATCGCCGCTGCGGGCTCGCCAGCCGTTCCATCCATAACCACTTTCCCGCCACCTGCGATTGTCTTCTTGGTGGGCAAAGCAGGACTCGGCCGTTTGTTGGAGATGGAAGGCGTTGGGTCGGAGCTGTCGCTCCCACCATCGGGGGTCTGTGACCACTGGCGCTGTCGCCTGTGCGTGTGCACATGCGGCGTGCGAAGGCGGGCTGGCATGCTCGGAGCGTGGTTGCGCTGCTGCTGCCAGGGCAGTGCCGGGGTGTGCGGCAGTTCTGACATCTTCAGGTGGGCCGTGCTGATGTCAAATCCTCCAGTAATGCTTTCAGAGTCGAAAATAAATGTTTGGGGGAAATCTGTGTCTTGTTTTCTCAGTTCCCTTACTTTGGAGCCTCTAAAGGGCAAAGTTAAGTGACAGCACAAACTAAACGCTAATGTGTACATCCTAGTATGACCCTGTGGTCCTGTCTGATGGTGTGAGGAGCTTTAACTATATGCTGGAGGCATGCCGCAATCCTGTCATGTGAGGGCAGATGAAGGAAGTCACATTTCAATTTCTTAGCTGTTTCCAAACACCTTACAGGCACCTCTGCTTCAGCTTTGGTGCATGCGTGGGGCATTGCAAGACTACCCTGGTGTCAGTAAGTTAAAAGAGCCGCTAGCGTACTTGAAACTTGCAGCCCTCACTGCAGGCGGGGTGACATTGTTTGAAGCTTCCTCAGTGCTGAGTTCCCTTTGCACCTCCATATTTTAATGTTACCAAGACTTTCTGTTAATTAAACTTGGTTGGGGGTGGGTGGGTAAGATTTTCATGGGCTGTTGGGAGTGCATATGTGTGTGTGTGAACTGCTTTTGTCTTCCCTGGTCGTCTCTTTTTTTTCTTCCCTTGATGTACCTCTGGAAGATCTTAGTGAGGGCCAAAGCCTTCTCCTGAGGTGCTTTTCCCCACAGAGGTAGCTGTGCTGTGAAGAAGCACAGGCAGTCTTGTCTCCTCCCAAACCGTTTGGTTTTTTTGGGGGACTCTCCAGCCCCAGACATGCACCTGCCGCAGGTGCTTTGTTGGAAGGCAGGGAGTGCCATTTGGGAGGGGAGGACACGGTGTGGCCTGCTGCCAGCCCTTCTTTCCCTCTCCCAGAGCTCTGGTGGTGGGATACTGCATGGTGACAGCTTGTACTGACGGTGCTCTGCAGGGCTGGCCTTGCTGGCCCTTTTCTGTGAGCAGTCCTGGGTGTGTGCCCTGCTGGCACTCCAGTGATGGATGGAGCGGGACCCATGGCTGAGGGCCTCTTCCCACCAGGATCTTGGCACAGCCGTAGCACTAAGCACTTCTCTGTGTTCAGATTAAACTGCAAGACCTACCTTTGCTATTTCACTTTGCTTCAGTAATTCAGTGGCAGGCAGCTTTCTTTTAGGTCTCAAAACAGAAGCAAGTAGACAGATGGGAAGCTCCTTGGAAACTAATCAAGTGGCTTCTCCTGTGGGATAAAGGGGGAAGGATGGAGCAGGGTGGAAGAATGTATTTTTCTTCCTGAACACCTGGCAGATGCTCCAAAACAACACTGCTTGGCTTGTAACATCAGTGGCTTGCAAGAAACTGTAGCAAACTGTAACTTTGAACTTATTCTTACTTTGGGTTGCAACTTCTCTTCCACTTATTTTGCATTTCTGTGTGTGAATGCAGAAGAGTTAGAGAAGGTAAATGCACCATCTTCAAAGGGGACATCTGTCTTCATTCAAATAGTGGCCATACGTGAATCTTGTCTAAATCTACATAGAGCTGTACAAGTTGGAGTGCAGAAAACACGGAATGGAATCCTTAGCGTCGATCACCTTCTCCTACATAAAATTAATCACAAAATTCAGCATGCAGGATTTATTAGAAACTTAACCTCAGAGATGCTGGGAGTTGCAGAGGCAGGGAGTCTGTGTTTGCTAGAGATGAAGAGCAGCAATGCAAGAAAGTGGAGAGGTCAGTGGCCATGTAGAGGTTGAGTCTTACTGACAACAGCAGAAATGCCAAGCAGAAAAGGGTGGAAGGCACTGATCTGGGGTAGAGTGCTTCAGTCCCCAAAAGGGACCTCCTGGTCCTTCTTCAGTGATCCTTTTACTCCGCAGGAAATGTGGACTAAGACAGCTGGCAAAGCGTCTTCAATGTGCACATATTCTGAGCAGAACGAGAGTGAAGTTTAGGGAGATGCTGCCCAGGCTAGACAATTGTGAGGTTTGTTTCTTTTTCCTGATAAAGAATTGGGACTGGAGAGTTGTAGCTGTTGAGCTGCTCTGTTTGACCTTTACCCCTGTGAGAAAAGGTTGGGGTGGAAGGGAGAGAACGGGCTCTTCTGTGTCAAAAAGCCTTCTTAAATGCCCAGGTTTGTGTGTGGGGGGGAAGAATGCACATTCTGAACAATAAGATATATATTAAAAGTTGGCACAGTTTTCACGACTTTTGGAAGTGCACAGTAGTGCTGAATGCTGTGCGGGGTTTTGTATTTGGCACTTGCTATATCTGTGCGCATATAAATGGCTGCATACATCGTTTTAGTTTTGTCCAGTGTGAAATTGAGCATTAGGCATGCGAGCTTGAAGCACTTTTATATAAAAGCAGCACTGTGTGACTTACACACATAAATATATTTAATGAAAATGTAGGAGGAAGTCTCCTATGTTGTGTTTTTTTGTTGGTTTTTTTTTTTTTTTTCCCCTGTTGGTTTACAGTATGTGAAAATACAACTCTCTCTTCAGTCCCACTGGGAGTTTTTCTTATAAACAAGTTGAAATATGTACTAATTTAGTACATTAAGTTTTCTGTAAAATTGGGAATTTTGTTACCTTACAGTAATGACTGGATGCTTATAAATATAATTAAATCCCAGTGGCCTAAGGCATTTGCACAAGTAGCAGTACCTCCTTAAAGAAAGACTTTATGCTTTAGATAAACAAAATGAACAAAGAATGAGAAGAGTTATGATGAGATGACTTGGACAAGGCCCTGTGGCAGGTGAGTGAGTGGCAGAGGTTGAAGTAAAATCTGGGTCCCAGGCTCCAGACCAGCTGCTCACTCTTGATAGAGGCTCTTCCCACTTCTCATCCTAGAGTGACCTCTATGGAGTTTTCCTGTTCCTACACATAAAAAAGAGGTCATAGGGTAAATATGTACCAACGTGTCCATAATGAAGTTTGTTTTGTTTTGTTTTGTTTTGTTTTGTTTTGTTTTTTTCTGACTTCTGTAAGGCAGATTAATGTGAGTCAGACCTGGCTGTATTACGGCTGGACTCTGTATAGTGTGATTACAGCTCCTTAAAGCTCAACTGGAATTGTATTAAAGTTGTTTTCTGCAGAAGGGTTTAGGAGACATACAAGATATCTAAAGCTTTCTTACGATCATTTTCATAGTGGGGTGAATCTTTTTTACAATGTCTTACCACCCCAATTAAAACACCTTCCTTTAAATTAAATAGGAAATCTACCATTAACTTTACAAGGTGGGAATTGGCCCCCTATTATTAATAAAAGCTTTATATGGTAGCCTACATCTATTCTGTAAGAGAAACTGGAAAATACAGAGAATATGATACTTGGATTAATCAATAAATGAAGAAAATGTCCTTAGAGCTGCATTGAACTGATCTATTCTGTATTTTTAAAGATAAATGGGTCATTTATATTCCTGATATGTATAAGTGGCTCTCCAAGCAGTGTCCAGCTATCTGGTTGCTGGGTACTGGACATTTGAGTAGGAAAAACATGTATTTTAAATTTATCAATGTGTGTTATGGTTTCTGTGATGTTCTTTGTTGAAAGCATCAATTTGAGGTTATTTCTTACAGGAAAAAAAAACTTACAGGGTATTCTATACAGCTTTTGTGTTGGGAGGAAGAGTATTTTTTCTAGAGTAATTACACTTGCTGGAAATAGATCTATAATGTTGTGTATTCATAATCTGTTGAGTCTGCTTTGCATCTCAGTTACCAAACAGGGCAACCTGTATGATTTTGAGTTGGAAAGCACAGTAGCTGTTTTGAAACTCAGTTTTAAAACTGTTGGGGTCTTTCACTTCATAATTAAGTTACCTTGAATTTGGCACATTTTCTGTGCTCATTTCACTGGCTGAAAAGGGGAGGAATGTTTTAGTCCATAAGTTACTGCAACATTCTTTCTTTATTCATTAGTATTTAGACACTGAAACCCACTTAAAAGGGTCTGAGATGTGCAATATTGTAACTTTCAGATGCTTCCTTTTTTTTAAAAAAAAAAACTACTGACAGCTTGGGTTAAAATGTTCTGTATTTTTTCACTCTATTTTTGACCTGCTATCAGTATATTCAGTATTTTAAAGGAAAGAGTAACTTTAGTTTGTAGAGAGTTGCAGTTTT